CGGACCTGGTGGTGGTGGAGGCGGCTCTAGGGTTAAGGTTAGGGGCTCTGATACCAAATAGGAATTTTGAGAGAGAGAAATTGAATCAGGAAAAAAGCTGCTTTCTTCATTAACCTCTTAGGCTTATATAATGTGTTACATTTTACATCCAAGCCCTTATCTTTCTATAAACTACATATTTCAACATCGGGTGATATATCAGTTATGTCGGCCGATTTTTCAGCCTGAAAAATTAGCTGATTTTTTTTTTATCTAATCAAGTTTGGGTTTAAATTCTTGATTGTCTTAATATTACTTCCAAAGACAAAAACCGATAAGTTAAGGGAAATGAAAAAAAAGACTGAAGTAATATCCATCGCTCATCTTCTCTCTCTCTTTCGACATCTCATTGGTCTCTTCTCTGAGCTATTCCTTCGACATTAATATCGAGCGATGTTCTTTTTCTTAACCGCTAATATCGGAGTCCTCTTTTCTCACATATTTCCTTCAACATCAACCCTAAACATCATAAGTTGTTCACTTTTTTATATGTTTAAACAATACAATTTTTTAAGTTTGTTTAGATTTTACTTATGATATTTATATTACACACATGCACATCATCCGATGTGGCAATTCGATATTTTTTCATGTCCCCCGACATATCCCCGATTTTCGATATCCGACATGAATTTTAGTCATCCGACATGAACCCGACATCCGACATTTAAAACCTTGCTATCTAGTAGCACCTTGGTAACAATGACATTTTGATGGTGAATCACAGCTGGGAACATATTACTAATGCGCATTACCTCGATGATTTGGAAAAAGCTTGTAACATACACTAGAATTTATCTGGAGTATGGATTATGTGGCTTGTGTGATCATCATCTTACACATCCCCTGACAGCCTGACCTGACGATTGATATTACACTAGAAATATTTCACTTGTTGTTGACTATTTAGTTAAGTTTGTGTCATTTAAACGACTCATTGGAAAACTATGTGTACCTAGGGTGGATTTCCTGAGTAGTAGCTCGAGGAGATCACATCTGAAAAGAGATTATCCATGTAAAACATGCAACAGAGCCAAACATTGGGTATCTAGTATACTAATATACATATATCTTACAGGTTTGGTTCCATGAGCTCTCCAATAACATATGAGACTTATGAGTATAGTGTTGGATAGCAATTTCCTGTCTAAAACAGTGTACTGTTTTCTGCAAGGCTGAAAAGGTAACATTGGGCTAGGCATATCCCTCAACTAATGACTAGGAAGACATTCATTAACATGATTGGAATCATGCAACAGTCTTGCAAAACAAGCTCACAGCATAAGGAATACCAAAGCCAACCTTGGCAAGGCAGTTATACAACATACGTAGATATTTATTCCCACTGAAAACAAATTAAGATATTTACCTATCTAATCATGTTGCATGTTTATGTATATATGGCAAAAGTTTTTCCTACATGAACATGGACATCTTTAAGCCTCAATTTACAGCAACCAGGTAACAAGGTTTCATAAACAGATCAGATTAGCAGTTTAGCACCCCCGATGTTGCCTGCTTCAAGAAACGTTATGAACCATACAAGCAATACGAAGCCTGATTAAGTTCTTTCTATCATTCTAAAATGATGTGCTTACAGGTGCTAAGAGGTAGCATGGTTGTAAAATATTTAAAAACAACCTGAAAACGTTATTAGTTCACTGCTATTAGATTCCTCAGATGTTCAATCAATGGGTAAAAACCTGTGAGGCCAAATCTTGGAATCTTCATCAGATGGCTTGAGAATAAGATCGACAAAAGCTTTATAGGTGTTATTTGCTGGAAAAGGGGGAGGGTCTGTGTCAATGCTCCAAAAGCGGTTCCTTGCAAAACCATGTTGTTCAAGAGATCCCTGGGTCCCAAACTGCATAAAACAGTAACTTAGAAGAATGATATTTTTTGTATAAAACTAAAGCATATCCAAAAGAAAAAAAATGACAAGCTGGAGAGAGAACGTACTTGAGGAAAGCATATTGGGATGCCACCACGTATTGCTTTTGGAGGCTTGAAAATAGCCTGTGAGAGAACAGAAGAACAAATTTGAATGCTCAGTAACAAAAAGACGGCATTTACTGTTAATTAAGAATCCAGTATAAGGAAACAAAAGGCACCAAATGGTTTTAGAAAATAAAATGATGTTGAGAAGAAATTAGTTGTTTCTGATGATAAAAATATGATCTCCAAATACTAAGATATTAGCTGATTGAATAATATTATCTTTGAGTCAAATTGTTTCATCTGTCTGATTTGTTCAGAGCTCGATTCCTCTTCAGTATTTGCTTCCACTATAACTAAATCCCCTTCATGTGAAGACTATACTAATACCGAATGATTATAAAAGGTGTGGTATTGTACATATGCTAGATATCTAATCAAAAGATTTAAAAAAATTGGACATAGATCATCTAGATTTACATGAAGAGAGCAATTAGGCACCTTATTGCTGACAAAGAGCAACTCCTCTCCATGGTCGTTTTTCCAAGACGTGACATGACCACCATACAGATAGACCTGCAAACAGATATAAGGGTCTCACTAAAAACCAAGGCGGAAAGACTGTGTAGGAAAAATAGCTTGATGTTTTTCTAAACGAAAATTCACAGAACAACCTATTGTTACAAAATAGAAAGCAGAACGAAAGAGCAGGCAAATTGTAGTGGGAGAGCTATTCGGTGAAAGGATATTAGCTTAAATAAACTGCACTCCCAATTGAAAAATTTTAATGCCGACCACCAGCATTAGATCCTTATCCAAAATTCTAGGGTTTACTACGTGCATCCTTTTAAATTTGGGAAAACGACGGAAATTCTATACATTTTTCATCTCCGTATGCCTCTTGAAAATTGGGATTGTTTCATTATAAAAATTGGGATTGTTTCATTATATTCCTTTCATTTCCATATGCTACTTTGAAAATTTATCACAGATCAACATATTATGACGAATTATTTCCTATGAGATTAACATGTCAAAATCCGATAAATTACTGGAACATCGCATTTCATAACTAAAATTTGAAGAGCTCGGCAGATCGCACGTGCCTCGTCCCGATCTAACATAGAGCACGAGAACATTTCAAAAAAAAAGATCGCAAGGTCATAAAATTCCACAGCAAGCAGCACCGGATCCATCAAGAAACCGACAGATCCGCATCCGATCTCTCATTCAACCAATATTTTCAACAGAAATCAGCTAAAGAGGGAAATTACCTCCACGGAACTGGATCGAGTCCCTCTGAGGACGATCTTGTCGAGGCCGTTGATCCCCTTCACGAGCTCCACCGGAGGCTTAGCTGATTCCGCCATCGCTACACTCCCATAACCAAGAAACCCTAACCCTAGTTTCTCTCTCCTCTCGGTCTCTCTCTCTCTCTTAATCGCCACTCAGAGCAGCGAGAAAAGAGAACAAAAAATCGAAGCGATGGTGAGAGAGGGGTTTATATAGAAACAGATTGCTCCCTCTCCTTCCGCTACGATGCGCTCATCTCGTGTCGTTAAAAGGCGCAGTAGTAAACGCACTCTTTAAAACGCACTCTTTACGAGGACCAGATCTTGGGACTCCGTTGGACCCGATATAGGATCCATTTCTAGAATCCAAAAAATTCTAGGATGCAGGTCATATTTCAAAATGAGCTACAAGGTCCAATCTAGTTGTCACGTCATCATTAAATCAAGTTTGAGAATAAATTGAAGCTTTTCTTGAATTTTACTTTTTGATTAATATTGGTCATTTTTAAGTATTAAATAAGTTTTTATAATCATGTTTATAGAGAAAATGACTGATCTTGTCTAAAATCTTTTTAATCCGAACAGCTACTAATTATCAGAATATTTTATGATTCGGCAAAAGGTGAATTTATTTACATTAATTAGTAGTTAAGAAACCCAAGGTTTGTTCGATTTTAGATTTATATAATAGAACCAAAATTTCTCCTTTTTTTATAGAAAGTTTCATGTGCGATTCACTTTTTTTCTCTTATGGAATCTGCGAGAGAATAAAGAATTTGTGATGCGTGATTTCATTAGTTTAATAGGAGGTACAAGAAGGAAATGTAACAGCGTGCTTGGCAAAGTGCTAAAACTGATTTTAGTTAAGAGAAGTCCGCTTCAATAACTCGGTCCGATTTTGGTAAATAAAATTATTTGACTAAACTAGCTCTTGTCTAGCCTAACTTTGCCTCATAACTGGCCCGAAAAAGGAAAAAAAAAACAAAGATCCTCTGCCTTGAAGTAGAACCAGACAAGTTTGGGCCTAAAAAAACTAAAGGAAAGGGAAAGTATATCGCATTATCAAGTTGTCAAAGGGAAATATATATGTTTATCAAATTGGAGCTCTATCTTTATGAATATGTTGTATTTAACAAATATTATTTAGTTCTAGACCAGCTTTTCCGAAAATTTAGCCAAACTAAGTTCAACTTAAAACTAGTTCACATAGAAACTAGTATAGTCTAACCTAGGCTAGTATAATTGGATCTAAACTAAAGTGAATAATTTTTAAGTAAGTTAACATAATGTTCAATAAGGTACAACGAATGATAAAAGTTTTTGTGATTCTTTTTTTATTGAAATGGAAGAGTGAGGAAGGGTACATGCATGATTTTTTTTAGTTTATTTTTCATTTTCTCTCCCCTTATTTTTTGTGTTCCTCCAAATTAAAGAGATTTTCTCTCTCGTTACTTTATAATTTATTTTTACTTTTTTTTTTTTCTTCTCACTCGAACTCTATCTCACATGCCATTCTCTTTTAAAACCTTCCATGAAAGATAATTTTTTTCTTTGTCCCTCACCATACAACATTTCATGTAAAGCCTCATAAATTCCTTCAAAACAAATGTATATAGAACGTTTGGTTCTGACATAAGAAATCATGAAACCAAAATAAAAAACCTCTCGTCTAGCTTCTAGGGGTGTTAACGGAGCGGATACGGCTCGGATATGACACTTACCATATCCATATCCGCTTACCCATCTCGGATACGGATACGAATACGGATATGCGTCGGTAAGAAAAATTCATATCCATATCCGCCAAAATCGGATACGGTTACGGATATAGATGCGGATATATAAACGGATATGCATGCGAATACCAAAAGGATATAAGAAAACTAGATAGTATTTAGAAAAATATAGTCATGTGATACAAAAAGAATTCGTTAATATGTTTATTATGATTGAAAAGCTAAGATTAGACATCTTGATCATCAAAATTAACCACAAATCCATAATCTAAGAATCGAAACTATCGTAAGAGTATTACCAATATGTATTCGGATATTTCACTACAAAACCATATCCGCAACCATATCCTATCGGTAATAGATTTGAGTAACCATATTCGCATCCTAACGGATACGGTTACAGATATTTCCTCGGATACGGATACGGTTTGGCACCCCTACTAGCTTCACACTCCCTATGGGGTTTAAATTTGGGTGGATTTGAAAATGTCGGGCAAATTTTGAAAACAGACCCCTTTGCAAAAATATTCTCAAAAAAACTCGTTTTGAAAATATTCATAAAAAACAACCTAGTTTCTGACCCAAGGCTGAAACTGGGTCGTTTTTTTGCGAAAAAAATTCCCAAACTTCACGAGAGTTCAACTCCCGTGAAGTTTTTTACATAACAAAACTTCACGGGAGTTCAACTCCCGTGAAGTTTGAGAACTTTTTTCCCAAAAACCGACCCAGTTTCAACCTTGAGGTTGAAACTAGATCGTTTTTTAAAAATAAAGTAAAAACGGATTTTTTTTTTAGAATATTTTTGCAAGGATGTCTGTTTTCAAATTTTGTCATGAAAATGTCTCTTCGAGTGAGGCATCGGATTCTTTTCCCCAAAGGACACAATGGATATTTAATTTACCCCTCCAACCCTACGTCGACGGATGCCAAGACCCACCTGTAAAATGGGACCCGCACTTTGTACGAGTGTGGGGTGAGAATGCGCGTGTGTGTTTTTTTTTTTTGGATGCGGGTCAGAAATTTTTTTTTTCTCGGCAGGGATCGTGTCTTCCGTGCGATCTCAGCCGTCCGTTTCGGTGGGACGGTAACCAAGTTGCGTGCGTGGAATGGACGGGCAGCCTTTATTTGTGGGGAGCTACGAAATGATTCATGCATGTCTGTCTTTTTCTCGTGTAATAAAATAATGGACAGATGAGTCACAGCCAGCTTTAAAAATATGAACAATTTTTCAAAACCGACTGAAATTTTTTTTTTTTTTTCAAAACCGACTGTTTTTTTTTTTATTTATCAAAATCGACCCGGTTTTGTGATTAGCAGGCTAATCACTATCCTAAATAGTCGGGGTTGGCAACCCCGACTATTTAGGATAGTGATTAACCTGCTAATCACCCTTTAATTAGGGTTTAACACCCTCCTAAATAGTCGGGGTTGCCAACCCCGACTATTTAGGATAGTGATTAGCAGCCTAATCACAAAACCGGGTCGATTTTGATAAATAAAAAAAAAACAGTCGGTTTTGAAAAAAAAAAAAAAAAATCAGTCCGTTTTGAAAAATTGTTCTTAAAAATATATGTAAAGACAATTTTTGATTATTAAGATAGCACGAGTACATAACTAGCCTATTATGCATTTTTTTTAAAATTAATTTTCTTAGCTATACAGTTGTTACGCAACCAATGTGTTGATTATATTATATGTGAAATGAATCATATAACTAGCCTATAATTTTGATTATATTATAGTTGTGTTCAAATTTAGTTTGCTGCACTCGAAATTTGTTGGTGAACAATTTTTCTATGCCAATAAAAGAGCAAAATCTTTAAATCATAACAAATACACACAAATTAAAAACCAAATGACCAGCTAAGTAGTGCTTTTTCACGTGCCATATGTAACTCGGAAAAATGTAAGGTCATGGAGACACCTGAGACCGTTTGCTTTAAACTTGTTAAACCTTTAAAAAATTAATTTTACATTGAGTCAAAATAAAAGAATTCACTCCGTTAAAGTTGCAAATATTTATATTTATTTTCTTTAGTTATTTTTTTATTTTCCGCAGGGTTGTATTTCTTGTATTTTTCTATTTTTGGACGTAGCGTTTAGTCCGATCCACTACGCTAATGGCAACAGGCTTGTGATTGAAAAGGCTTGTTTGACGAGCCCAATCCAACATGACCCCTGTTCATTTCTAGTGTCGCCCATTTTAAAAGTTTAGCCCATATGCATTTTTAGTTTTGCTTAATTAGCTTTCTGGTGGGGGTGGGGGTGGGGGGTTGGGGTTGAGAATAGAGTCAGCTTCTTTAGAGAAGGCTGATTTCTTCTTTTTTTCTTTTCTTTTTTTAAAGGAAAAGAAGGGCTGCTTTCTAGATCGTTAAGGCTTCGTTTGGATACCATGATGTTTACCTTGTGTTTTTTAAAAAAACACCATGGTGTTGTGTTTTTCCCTTAAAATGTTTTCAAAACACCTAAGTTAAGTATTTTTGTCAACACTAGATTGACCCATTATAATATTTGTATTAAACATATTATATATTAATTATAATAAAATATATTGTAAATAAATAGTTATAATATTTAGTTTACATTATTATAGTATTATAAGTATTAAATGTAATGTAATATAATATTGTATAATGTATTATAATATTATATTATACTTTAATGAGTTATATTATATTATAATTATTACATATTATTTTCAAATAATTATATATTTAATTATTTTTCTATATTTTGTTATTATTGTATATTATAATAATATTTTTATAATAATGTTATTTTATTATTAATATAATAATATATTATTATTAATATAATATAATATTATACTATTATTCATATAACATAATATTATACTATTATTTATATAAAATAATATTATTAATAATGTTAATATTATGTTATTACTAGTATGTTATTAATTAATTAATATATTATAAATATTTTAATATTATGTAATATATTATGGTCTTTAATATGTTAGAGTTTATTAATAGTAATTTAATAATATATTAAAATATTTTATTAAAATTTATTTTACTTTATAATAAATTATATTTTTTATTTACATAATATATTAATATTTTATATATTATATTATATTACTATACAATATATTATAATAATAATATTATTATATTTATATTGTTATGTTTATTATAAATATGCTACTATTTATATAATATATTTATAATTATTAATTATTACAATTTATTTATTAAAAAGTTAATAATATTATAGTGATTATATATTGATATGTGATTATAATTACTATCATAGAGTATATTATTATTTAAATTAATACTTTATTATTATTATTTTTAGTTTATTTATATTTTATTATTATTTATTTATTATATAATACATTATTAACATATTAAAAATATTGGTATTTAATATGTTATTATATTATTATATAAGATATTTTATTTATTATATTATTTAATAAATATTACTAATATATTAAATTAATTATAATATAGTATACT